CCTTATCGAGCCGTTTCATCTCAAGCGCCAAGGGACAAAGTGAAGTAGTAGGAGGGCGTTCTGTTTCAGGCGCGTGGCTTGTGTGGGTGCACGAAGAGCTGCTTTTCCGCCCCCGCTCGCATAGCAGCCCTGGGTGTATGGGGGCATCAAAGAATACAGTGTGATTCTCCTTGAGCCTCGCAACAAGCCTGTTGTGATGTGCATCTATCACTCGTTTCGCATTGCCAATTTGTTTTGCTTTGATACGACCGCTGGCGCTGTGCCTTCCTTACTTTCCTAACATTCCACGGAAATTGCTTCCTCCTTTACGGGCACTGTCTAGGACACGAGAAGCGCACTGCCACTGGCTCTGTTTTTGTCAACGGCCGTCGCGGGTTCATACCCTTCCCATCGACTACGCAGCACGCATCGATCATCAAGTGCGCCTCTTCCAAATTCACGCCTCCGCCTCATCGCAATACACTCGAGTCCCATACTTTGACCTCACTACGGACTACGACCGTTCAAAGTGGTTCTAGCTTTTCAAGGCCACACCATAACAATGGTTGCAACATTTTCGCCGCACCGTGATGCGGGTGGCACGCTACATCTGCCTTCACACACCGGGATTCACCATGTTGATGCTAGCTCAGCCATTCGACAACTCCGCCGGTCACTATCACGTTCACCCTCTAAGAGCTCCAACTTCTCGCTTCTCGCGACCAGAAACCACTCACCGTCAAAAACCTCGCCATATGTCTCCTCCCCACTGTCACCTTCGCGACGATCTTCACAGGGCAATTTCGTGCTCTTCCCTAGCTCCTCACACCAATCACCATTTGCACTGCCATATCCGTCAAGTGGTAAAATAACCAGACCTGCCGTGCGCCGCGTACGCACCTCACCCAGGAGTCCCGTAAAACGCGCCCTCAACCTCTCTATAGACCAGGGCAATGCGAAGCCCGTGCAGCCAATCTTGACAACACCCGGTGTTGAAAATTCTCCCGTAACACCAGACATAAACGTCCCTTCGGACGACAATGCCAGTGGGAGTGGCTGTTCTTCGAACTCGCCCTCTGGTGCAGAAGGCCCTGCCCCTCGTCCGACGCTATCCAGAATCGAAAAGCGACGCAGTGGGACTTTTGGCTCATACGCAACTGTTAGCCCACTAAAACGCAGTGATGGGATCATGAACCTAGATCGGGCATCTCGAGGAAGTCCGTCAGCCAAGAGGCGCAGTGTGCATGCGGCGAACCTTTCGAGCGAGTTTAATATATTTGATAGCGAGGCCGGCCCAACTACCGTTGAAGAATCAACGTGCGAAGTACCGTCCGAAAGTGAGACGCCATCGTTCCCCACCAACATCACCCCGTTCAGTCCTTTTGCTACAATACCCAAACGCTCATCTTCTTTGCGACGATCAACTCTTCAGCAACGCCAAAGTGATCGTTCCTTATTCTCCCGAGCAAGGGCCGTCGCCGAGACGCCTGAGGCTTCAAATACCCCTGCAAGTCCATGTCCCCGATTGCCTTTGGATGGCGGTCTCTTTCAGTCTGATCGAGATAACTTGTTTTCGCCACGGCCTGTACCGGGCAGTCCGTTGTTTTCGTCGACTGGGAATACTGCTGTCCAGACTCGCTCTGCTGTCCACCCGCTTTCTAGGACTATCACACAATCTTCGTCCAGCTCCAGTCTAGTGGATGACTCGCCGACACATGAACCAATCCATAAAGCCGATCACCCAAGAGGAATGTTCAATTTCTCCAAGTCCCTTCCGGCTGGAGCAACTCGACCTGCCCTTGTACGCCAACTTACCCGCGAAGATTCGACCTCATCCATAGATTCTTTTGCAACCCCAGAGAATTACAAACTTGTGAAGCCTCTCCCAGCGGCATTCATGTCCACGGGTCTGATCTCCAAGAAGAATCGTAATGCCGAGGACCCCCAAAACATGTTGAGTTTCAACAAGAACATGCCTGATACGCCGTGCAAACGGCCCATTAACTTGTTTCCTAGCGGGCAAAAGGCGCCGCCAGAACGGTCGCTAGGGTTCTCAACATCCTCTCGCCAATCCGACACAGTACCTCATTCCCCGTTTAACCCACCTAGTACACGTCCAAAACCAGGCCCTTTCGCACGTGGCATGGGTATCTTCGGGAACACCTTCAATAAACAAGCGCCTTCCCGTCGTGGTAGTTTTGTGAGTGTGGATGGTGATGAGGTTCAACTACAATCGCCATCCGGACCGCGGGATAGTCAGCCTTTGAGCGAATATGACTTGCCACCAACACCAACGAAGCAAACGTTTTTCCCCTCTCGAACCTATCCCCCAGCTACCTCACAGATCGCTTCACTCGAGAGATTATCCGAAGCTAGAGGAACAAATTCAAGCCCATTGCACGAAAGGTTCCTGCGGGGGTCACCGCGCACGCCTCAGGATAACCTGTTCCCTCCTGATCCTAGCGGCCTCTCGATTTCCAATGACCAGCAAGCGATCAGGCCTGATTTCAGCGCTGTTAACTTACCGGCTACTCCCACTGGTCCCCGTGATTCTTTATTACAGTCAGGGAAGCGCCCTAGTCTCCCACTGAACGGTTACGCCCCAGATGTGGATCCGAGTTTGACCTCGCGCTTTGAAAGAGTTGAGCTTGTTGGCACTGGTGAATTCTCCCAGGTGTACCGTGTATCTGAACCCCACAATATGTCATTGTCATCAATCTTCTCACGCAGCCCAAAGTCACCTAAGATCTTGCCTGAGAAGGTATGGGCAGTTAAAAAAGCGAAACAACCATATTCTGGGCTGAAGGACCGTGAGCGTCGGATGCGTGAAGTAGATGTGCTGAAGGCTTTGACTAACTCGGACCATGTTATTTCTTTCATGAACAGCTGGGAAGACAATGGCCACCTCTATATTCAGACCGAGTTCTGCGAAGAAGGTAGCTTGGATGTCTTTCTGGCCCAGGTCGGACTCAAAGCAAGATTGGATGATTTCCGCATATGGAAAATATTGCTCGAGTTATCTTTGGTACGACTTTAACTGCAATTTTGCAACATTAGGCTCTGCTAACCATCATTCATAGGGTTTAAAACATATTCATGATATGGGCTTTATTCATTTAGATTTAAAACCCGCCAATATCCTGATCACGTTTGAAGGCGTCCTGAAAATCGCCGACTTTGGGATGGCGACATCATGGCCGGCAGAAGAGGGAATTGAAGGCGAGGGGGATCGTGAGTATATTGGCCCAGAGATCCTAATGGGCCGCTATGATAAACCTGCGGACATATTCTCCTTGGGTTTAATCATGTTTGAGATCGCTGGGAATGTTGAACTCCCAGACAACGGGCTCTCATGGCAAAAGCTGCGGAACGGGGATATGAGCGACGTTCCTAGCTTGACCTGGAGTGCAGAAACCAGTATTTTCCGCGATGCATCTGGGAATCCAATCTCGGAAGAGCCGTCATTTGAGGAGTTGTGCACATCGGACTTTGGGGATGATACATTTGGTGAAGACAGTTTCCTGGGAAACCGCAGGTCCAGTGAACGGAAAGCAGTGCAACTCGCTCGTACTGGCGAGCTTCATGATCCTCCTAGCTTTATGGTTGACGCCGGTCATGAACAAGCTTGGATAAAATCGTGCGATGGATGATCTCGCCAGAACCATTTGATCGGCCTACAGCGACCAGGTTTTGGAGGTATACGGTGTCCAGTTTGTCGCTCGTCGTCGGCGTGCTGGGGCTACAATCTACGAAGGCAATTGGGGTCCCGCCGACGAAATGCTAGCAGAGGATGCCGAAATGATTGATGTTTAATCAGTGCTTGACATATTAGTGCATTTGGACGGAGTTGGTGCTTTCCTTTACGGTTAACATATAATGACGGCGTTGATGCGGAAATCCGACCTTCGATAATAATGTCCATCACCACCGACCTATGGCTCATGCTTGGTGTTGTTTTTCTCTATTTCTCCACCTTTCTTTCGTGTGCAATGGGTGGCGGGTTATCTCGAGAGCTGAATCTTTATTGCTCTATGCTCGCCATGCCAGTGACCTTTCTTGTTTTCTTTTTCTCTTTTTTCTTCCGACTCTAGCCGACCACCCTTCACGATTTCACTGATTTGATATGACCAATAATGGTGTTGAAGGGTTTCACACTCATTTTCTCATGATATTTCCTATGTTGTTACCCTGATTTGAGCGTTCGAGGTACTTGTTGTTTTACTATTTCTTGTCTTTTCTTTTCTTTTCGTTTCTCTTTTTGTGGCCCTGCCCATGTCTGTATGATTGGATTCCCGCAACCTGGAAGTCAGGATTGCTGTGTAATATGTGATTTATATTTCCCTTTGTTTTGATGACTCGACTCCTTTTCTCTTCACGGCTTTGGGCGTTATTAATGATTACCTTTCCCCCTACATCTGTGTTTCCATATCCCTTTCAGCAACTGTTATTTTATTCCCCCGGCCCCCTTCTGTGAGTGAGTGATATAGGTGAAGAGACATGAAAACAGCCGATATGTGATCAAGCAGGCTTGAGAATAGGTGATGCTTGTGATTCATACTTTTGAATGCGAACCACTTCTGGACACCAATTAATAGGTAGCCAGCGAACTATAATTTTCAATTATTTTTTATGAAGCTTGATGCGAACGTGGATGTAGAACAGTGTAGTATTATGTGAGACCTGGGAGTATGTTCCCCAATTGTTTGGCTCGCCACCAGCAGACTTCTTGGCGGTCGACCTGGGCGGCGAGATTCTTCGCAACATCGACGCGCCTGAGGGCCAGCCACACTCTAGAGCAAGTCACGCCGAATCCTTTAATCATTGTGCTATCTACCTTTCAGTTCGCCCATGCTTACAGTTTATTTTGCATTTTTCAAAGCACATTCTGATATGACGCGCGGCTTTCTCCGAGGCTTACAATAAAGAAACACTTGTGCCATCTGCTCAAGTCTCATAACAGCGGTCATATCGCGGATTAATATAGTCTCAACTGTCCAGCTTGGATCTGTACTAATTTAGATATGGACAATCGAACATTCGTGTCGGATTCTCTCCTCCGCCTTACCAATGCCTCGGACCCTACCGTCGTCGACTTTGTGCTCGCCACAGCCAGTTCGGCCAAGACAGCGGATTCATTACAAGAGAAGCTCGTTCCTTTCTTGGATGGCAGCGCAGAAGATGTTAATGCGTTTTGTGGAGAGCTGTATAAACGAGTGGGCGCGGGCGCAAAAAGCGAGCGCAGCAGCAGTGCTCAGAAAGAGCGCAGTGATACCGCGTCGAAAAAGAAGTACCGATTGATTGAAATGGAAGATGACAATCTAGACTCTTCAAGCTCTTTGGGACCCACAAATATCGAAACAGAAAGGGAGAGGCGGAAGCGCAAGGACAACCGAACCAAGGAGGAGCCCCGGGGGCACAATCGCTGGGAAAAGGAAGAAAACAAGAAGCGCGGGCGGAGCGGGAAGAGAGCCGAGATCGCCACCGGTCCAAGAAGCTACGACGACGGGATAAAGAGGATTTCGATGATCGCTGGGGTGACGAAGAGATTCCGGATGATGAGGTGTATGAAGAAGATGAGCAAAGTGGTAAGAATGAAGAGTCACCGTCGAAGCGGACTAGGTTGGAGGATGGATCTGCGTCACCTCGGTCGACCGACTCTGCAGACCTAGATCCAGAGACGAAGAAAGAAATCGAGCGACGGCGGGACATCGAAGAACGAGACGAGTTCGCGAAGCGGTTGGCCAAGAAGGATGACAGCAAAAATAAGAAGATTGTCGAGGACCGGACCAGAAATAGTGAGGTCGCACGAAGACGAGCGTTGGCAGACGATGCTTCCGCTAGAGCTGCCGCGATGCCAGAACTAAGAATGCGCTCTCGGCAAGAGTATCTTAAGAAGCGAGAAACTGAACGACTAGCCCTCCTGCGCAGGCAGGTCGCGGAGGAAGCGGCCGAGCTACGTGATAATCCCAACTTGACACGGAGGGAGAAAGAGGAGTTTGCTAGAAACCGGGAAGTACTTCGGATTGCTGAGGAGCGGCTACGGATCGATGATTACCGCGATGGGTACATGATGCCGGATGACTATATCACAGAGAAGGGAAAGATTGATCGAAAGAAGAAAGAAGATGCTCTTTACAAACGCTATGTGGATCGCGACGAATATGGACAAGAACGATTTATCACGGAACATGAGGAGTGGGAGATGGAGCAAACTGCCAAAGCAAAGGCACAGATTAACAGGGCAGAGTTCGTGGATGAAGGTGACTATGAATATGTTTTTGACGACTCACAAAAGATCAACTTCGTCATGGATGCCAAGATGGAAGGGACTCAGAAGGCTATGTCCCAGGAACAACGTATACTTAAAGAAAAGCTCGACGCAGCAGAGAAGAAGGCGGCATCGATTGAGGATACACGGAAGAGCCTGCCCATCTATCAATTTCGAGAGGAGATCATCCAAGCTGTCCATGATCACCAAGTTTTAATTATTGTCGGTGAGACAGGTTCTGGTAAAACGACCCAGATCCCGCAGTACCTTCATGAAGCTGGTTTCACGAAAAACGGGATGAAGGTTGGTTGTACGCAACCTCGACGAGTCGCTGCTATGAGCGTTGCATCGCGAGTAGCCGAAGAAATGGGTGTGAAGCTGGGCAATGAGGTCGGTTACGCCATTCGTTTCGAAGACAACACAAGTGATAAAACAGTGCTCAAGTATATGACGGATGGTATGCTGTTACGTGAACTGCTGACAGAGCCAGACCTGGGCCAGTACTCAGCGTTGATGATCGACGAGGCGCACGAGAGAACGGTGCCTACGGACATTGCCTGCGGTCTGTTGAAGGATATTGCCAAGCACGGCCAGATCTGAAACTGTTGATCTCCTCTGCAACAATGGATGCACAGAAGTTCCAGCAATACTTTGACGACGCACCTATCTTTAATATCCCCGGGCGACGTTACCCCGTGGATATTCACTATACATCACAGCCAGAGGCGAACTACCTGGCCGCAGCAATCACAACCGTTTTTCAGATCCATGTCACACAAGGTCCTGGAGATATTCTTGTGTTCTTAACCGGCCAGGAGGAGATTGAGGCGGCCGAACAAAGCTTGCAGGAGACTGCGCGGAAGTTGGGGAGCAAGATACCAGAAATGATAATATGCCCTATCTATGCCAATCTACCATCCGAGTTACAAACTAAAATTTTTGAACCGACGCCACCGAAGGCACGAAAAGTCGTACTCGCTACGAACATTGCCGAAACTAGTTTGACTATTGACGGTATTGTCTATGTGATTGATCCAGGTTTTGTTAAAGAGAATGTCTTCAATCCCCGAACTGGAATGGAAAGTTTGGTAGTAACACCGTGCTCGCGGGCATCTGCCAACCAGAGGGCCGGGCGAGCCGGGCGAGTTGGACCTGGGAAATGTTTCCGTCTCTACACGAAGTGGGCTTACCATAACGAGTTGGAGGAGAGCACGACGCCTGAAATCCAACGTACAAATCTCAGCAGCGTCATTCTGATGCTCAAGTCACTAGGGATTGATCAGTTACTCGATTTCGATTTCATGGACCCCCCGCCAGCCGAGACAATTATTAGAGCCTTGGAGCAGCTTTATGCTTTGGGCTCATTGAATGATAGGGGCGAACTAACGAAGGTTGGAAGACAAATGGCGGAGTTTCCGACAGACCCCATGCTGGCCAAAGCTATCTTGGCGGCGGACAAATATGGCTGTGTGGAGGAGGTGCTTTCCATTGTGTCAATGCTAGGGGAGGCCAGCGCTTTATTCTTCCGGCCCAAGGATAAGAAGATACACGCGGATAGTGCACGTAATCGGTTCACGATCAAGGATGGCGGGGATCATCTGACTTTGCTCAACATCTGGAATCAATGGGTTGATTCCGACTTCAGCTATGTATGGGCGAAGGAAAACTTCCTGCAGCAGCGCAGCTTGACTCGGGCACGCGATGTACGCGATCAACTGGCGAAATTGTGTGACCGAGTCGAGGTCACTGTCAGCACATGTGGGTCGAACAACCTGCAACCGATTCAGAAAGCCATCACGGCTGGGTTCTTCCCGAACGCAGCGCGTCTGCAACGCGGTGGTGATAGTTACCGGACGGTGAAGAATGGGCAAACAGTATACCTGCACCCGTCAAGCACGCTGTTCGAGGTCAATCCCCGGTGGGTAATCTATTTCGAACTCGTGCTGACGAGCAAAGAGTATATGAGGAGCAATATGCCACTCCAGGCTGAGTGGCTCGTGGAGGTTGCGCCACACTACTATAAGAAGAAGGACTTGGAGACATTGGGGCTCGAACGAAAAATGAAAGGACAAGGAGCGGCAGGTGAAAAGAGTCGAGACTAATCTATTTTTTTGTTTTTTCTTCTTTTCCCTTTCGTCGCCTATATATGTAGGAGTGTATTATTGGCGTTTGTTGCTCTCATCAGCATGTTTAGACACCCAAAGCAAATACCACATGTATTTCTATTGACCATTGACGACTTGTCTTGATGGTATGATTGTTATTGAGTCCTCATGTATATGTTCTTTACATGATTAAACAATTTGGCGATATACCTCGGCTATTATCTACAGTCTCTCACCAGATATGTACAGCTCGAGTATGCACGACGACATTTATTATACTTTATTATAGCATTGGATAGAATACCTGTCCAATAACATAGTAATTTTCTGTAGTAGTAGTCGTAGCAAGGTACGAGCGACCAATCACGGCACGGATATTTCAATTCTCAAGATGACTGACCGCGGCACGGAGACGGAAGGTTAACCTCGGCTCCTGCTCGACCGAGTTGACAGGCCATCCATCGTCATCTCTCCGCTTTCGACCCCGGATTTAATCATCAGCAGCAGCAACAATCATCCGATTCAAAGGAATTACAATACCATCACCACAACACTACTCAACCCAAAGACCAAAAGAAGTGCGCAAGGAACTTGAAAAAGAAAGAAAAGCAAAAATGTCCCAGACCTTCACGCCCGCCGACGTCGCTTCCCACAACAACGCCGACAAGGGCCTTTATATCATCATCGACAAGAACGTGTACGATGTGACCAAGTTCGTGGACGAGCACCCCGGCGGCGCGAAAATCCTGAAGCGTGTCGCGGGGAAAGATGCTAGCAAGCAGTTTTGGAAGGTATATTCTTCTTTTTTTTTTTTTTTGGTTCCCAGGCACTACTAGTTAGTGCCATGTCGTCGTAAATTTGAATGATTCCCCTCCCCCCTCTTTTCCGTATCTTTTTTTTCCTCAATTCCCCTCCAGTCTACAAACGTTCGTCGGTGCTAACCATGGCCAGTATCACAACGAGGGAGTGCTGAAGAAGTATTCGCCAAAGCTGAAGATCGGGGAGGTGAAGGAGGCTGCGAAGCTGTGATGGAGAATGTTCGAGTATGTGTTGTCATATAGAAGGGGAAATGTGTGCCTTTCTCCTAACCTTTTCTACGTGGTCCGGTCGTCTATTCCGGCGTGATTACGCTTTTAGCACTACATTGCACAATACTACCTTTTCATGTACGCATATGCCTGCGGAGTGTTGATTATCCTAGAATAAATGTCAATGATTTTTAGATGATTCCAACGCCCAGCTCCGAAACAATATCCCTCCCAAAACGATGTAGCCAAAGTGGTATCAATGTGCGAATATAAACGCTAGCGGGCACCTATGCAGATGCCCTGTGTCAAGACATACAGTTACTGATTCTCGAACCTGGTGATTCGTCCAGGGGTATGCATCACCCTGGAGGATAATACCACCCCCCACAACATTATAATCACAATGCGTTAGAACCCCCGGAATGGATCGTCATTGCGAAAAGATCCGTAATCGTCATACCTTGGGTGGTCAAGGTCATAAAATCGCTGGCTTTCTGGGCTCCAAGGAGTCGAAGGCTTCCGTGAATGCCTTGGATGTGGCGCATGGCATTGGTTAGACTCGGCCTGGTCAATGAACGCCTCCATGCGGACGGTGCCAATGGCATCGAAGTAATTACCAGTTCTCACGCTGGCCTCGGAGGTACGGCCACTCATGATGCTCTGGCCACTGTTCGTAGCGGGCGGAGCATATGCTTCAAAAGCACCTTGTGTTGGAGGCATTAAGGGCACGGTGCCCTGATTGGAAAAGCTGCGGATCATGGGAATTCGGGGAGTCGTATTGCTGCGCTTGCGCGAATGGTTGGAGAACCGGGGGATCGTGGGTGGATCAGCGGCATCTGCCATATCCACCTCTGCTGGGAGCTCTGGAACCGGCTCAGGATGTTTGAAAGCTCGTTTCCCTCTCTGTCTTGGCTTTGGTCGGCCTTTGGCGATTTTTATAGAATCGCGGATCGGGTTGCGACGCAAAGTCGCCGTGGACGTGGAAGATGCAAACTCTTCCTGCGGTATAGGCGGCAGAGCTGCGAGGTCATGAAGGCCCATGGAGGAATGACTCAAAAATGAAAGCGCAGTTAACCAAACGTAATGCCGTTCGATGGTGGTGGCGGTGAATTTGAGGGCTCGTTCGGGTGTAAGGATGAGGATGGATCGGCTGAATTGATTTTGCGGGTCGAATCCCTTTGGTAAAGGGTTGTCGTCTTTAACGTCAAGGACAGACTGAATTGTCACTGCTCGTAGTTAGCGGCATCCATCACAAACTTATGAAGGGGAACCTACACTTCCTGCCGCTCTTGCCAAGTAACGCTGGTCCACTTGTTGGCTGCTTGCTACTCCACATAACCGCTCGCTCATACGGAGCCAGCCAAACCCATCTTTTGTGCCTTGATCCACTGTTGGCGATGTTCGCTGACACCTCTTCGGCATTCCGGCCTTCCCAGTTGTCCTTGGATTCACCAACTCCGCCGAAAGATCTCCTCCGACGAACGTACTTGAACATCCATTCTCCTACCATTGTTTGGGCAATAGCATCAACAACACTAGTTGGCTGGACCGATGTCGCCGTGGAATCATCCCGCTGGTGGGAAAACGCGCGTGTGGGGCGGCCGGTTTCATTATATCGCCCTTGATTTGCCCGCCTAATCCGCTGGGGAGTAGTTATATCGTTGAACGGGAGAGGCGGATATTGAGGACTCTCCACCGCACAGGAAGATGTTGATATGGTAGGTGATGATCGGGTTACAGGCCGGGCAGGCTCTGCCTGAGACATTGCAGCTGCAGACCGCACTCGCCGCAAAGTAGGCTGCCGAGTGATCGATGGCCGTCTCTGGTCAGAAAAGTTCCGGGGGTTCGAAGGAGTGGGACTCTGCTGACCATCGCTGCCCTTAACTGGGAACTTCCGCGAACTGAGTCGTATGGGAACCGGAAATGGGGGAGCTATACTAGAACCGCCACTGGCACTGTCGAGACTTGGCTCGCTGGGGCTCCGTATTCTCTGGTGTGCAGCTGCCCCGTTGGATATCATCGCCGCTCTGCGTATATCCTGCTGGCGTGTCCACGAGGGCACTACTCCTGTTCGTGGACTTATCCGAGAAGCTTTGCTTGGATTTTTCATCTCAAGGTCGGCCGTTGCATCAAATAAATGTGCCTCTGCATCCAGTATGTGTTGATCGATTTCTGTGGTGGTCTCGTCTAAGCTAGGACCACCCTGGGTGGAAACCAATTTGCCTCGTTTCAGAGTATATGAAGCGAACGGTCGGTTTAGTAGCTCATCATCTGAGAAAATATCTCCCATCCTGGGGGACGCTTCCTCATCACTTGGTTCGTCAAATCCGGCAAAGAGACTACTGGATCTCAGGGGCCGTCTTAAATCTGTCTTGGACTCATCAGCCAACGGACCGTTGTCGTTGTTGCCGGGATAAGCTTGCACGTGCTCGTGGGGTTTGTTTCGTGCGGGTGCTTGGCTGGGATAGGGGGAGGTGGTGGTATCTCTTCTTTCCTCGTTCTTGGAGGTGGGGCGTGATACGGCTGGATCGGAGGATCCTGGAGATTGGTACGAAGGGGTAAATCTGGGATGGCAGACGGTAGCAAACTCGCAGGCAATTTGACAGGTCGCTGATCAATCCGAATTTCCTCTGTCTGTATGCCAACTGTTCGGCTGTCGGTAACAGTCTTTAAGTCTGTTTGGCAAGAAGCACTCTTAGTTTGTGGTGGCAGAACCACACTCCCTCGAGGCGAAGAAGGCTCAGAGCAGGGTGGATGAATTGCAATCATTGGGACCTCAATATCTGAGGAACTAGGACTGTTATGGGTAATATTGGCACGTTGCTCATGTGTTTCAGGAGCAATAGGTTGTTCTGTCTGGATTGATGCAGAGACCATGGCGGCCTGGCCAGGAGTATTCGATGGCGGTGATGATTCACCAAGCTTAGGAGTCCAAGGTGGAGTGGGTAGATCATCGACAGTCTGAGAAGATGTCGATACCATATTTACTGGGGCCATCCACGTGCTGCTGTCTTTCGTCTGGTACGAACCCGGGCCGTCACGGCCTCCAGTATCTTCGCCGCAGGCCACGGGTCCAGTCTCTGGTTGCAACTTCGGGGACGGAGGCGGGGAATACTGGATTCCAGCATCTTGATAGCAGTAGCTCGCTGTCGTTGTTTCCGTTGGGGGTGGCTTCCAGGGACTACTAGGCTCCGACTTGAATCCACAGCTTTCTACACTATGGAGAGAGAGGCCCAGGATCTTCCTCGCCTTTGCTCCCATCTCCATTGTGTGGGACAGTTGCGAGTGGACTGACGTTGGGCGTTCTTCCGGGAGGGCCTCAGGTGAATAAGGTGTAAAATAATCGTCACGCAGATCAAACTCATCTTCCTCGTCGAATGCCAGTTCTTGCGCAAGGTTTATACCGTCATGTTTCGCGCCTGGTATATTGACAACACTTGCCACAGAATACCGAAGATCATGGAGATCACCCCCGTCAGTGCTTACGCTTGTGACACTCGTACGCCGTCTCCCTTGACTGCTCGAGTGGGCGCTCGCAGTATCACTGTCCTTCCCCGTGGCTTCGTCCTTGACCAAACCAGCCCCATCAGGTTCCGCATCTGATGGAAATTGCCAGCTGCTTGGACCGCTGCCACTTCGGTCAAGACCACCTTGAGACGCCCCTCAACAACATGAATCTTGCGTTCCAGGTTCCTACGCTCACCGTCCCAGAGTTCCTTATCACGGTCCCAAAGCTCCAATGTCTTGTCGATCTCGTCTTCCCGACTGCGGGCTTTCTTTTGTGCCTGGTCCAGTTTCTTTCGAACATCTGAGATGTTCTCTAGCGCTTCATCTCTCTCCCTTGCGAGCTCCGTAAGAGCTGAGGAGGTACCCCCTTCCACAAGCTGTAGCTGATGTTTGAGAGACCGCGTCTCCTTGATACTCTGTGATAAACGTTCACTGATATCCTCGGTCTCTGTGCGCGATTCATCCAGAGTTCGCTCCAGGACATCAATGGCTTTTGTTTTACTCTCCACATCCCGCCGTAAAGACAAAATCTCCGAAACAAGTGAAGCATGTAGTGTTGGGGTAAACCTCCTGGGATCTAGCGGTGATAAGGTGTCCTCGTACGTGGCATCTTGGAAGTCACGGCGCCCATCGAGGAAGAAACTCTGGTTTGATGGAGATGGTGGCGACGATGATGGGCCAGGAGAGGAATCTCCACGGGAATGCATAGACGGACCTCTTCGAGGCGTGGTAGAGGGTGTGGGGAACACCTCTGCAGGGGAAACCCGGGAGACTGTCTCTGTTGCCATCGCTTGATAACAGAAGATCAAGACCTCAAAACAACCGCAGATTTGAGAGGCTTATTGGAGTATACCAGCAACCGGGCTCGCACACCTTATACCATTGAAGAGCTGCGGTATGCGGGGTCCATCTGACCTTCCGGACGTTGCAGGTGGGCAGGAAACAAGATGACAGGCGATATAGATGCTGACCGGCAACTATAGTTGCTGATGAGGTCTTCAGCAGGAGATTTCTGGTTCACCGCAATGAGCTGCGTCAGCTATCTGCACGCATGACTCGAGATAGGCGTGGTTGGGAGCAAAGGCGCACAGGCAGTAGACTTTCCACCTACACTTAGATCTAGTTGCTACCCTTCCTCAATCACAGAGAGGGCTTTGTACGGTCTTTCAGGCTCCGCCTGGGGTCAGGGACGACGTCAAAAGAAAAAAAAATAACGGCACAAAGTAGGAAAGGCAAAGACAGCTGGGATACCCTGAGAGCTTGGCTTTCCTTAGCCACCCAGTAAAGGGGGAGAGGTACGAGAGAATTGAATTGGCTCGTCGACGCGGGGAGGTGGAGGAAAGATCGTAGATCGCGTTTAGGGATAGTAAAAAGATAGGCGGAGTCAGCGAGCAAGACTGTCACCCACCACAGGTCTCATCGATCCTCGATAAAAAGATCTGAGGAGGAAGGGGACACGGTCTACATTGTATGAGAGAAGACCCGTTAGGTCAAGGACGATCAAGAGCTAATGAGCCTTGCGGGCCGTGACCTCAGAACTTGTCCGAGCATCGGGATGTGCACGACGTGAGGACAAGCCGTGGCTAAGTTGCTAAAGCATTAGCTCTTCCAGGGGTGTTCGTTAGGGGGGATGGGGAACTGAGTCTACGCTCCCGATTAGTGAGGAGGATCAAAAGAACGTCTCCACTTAAGCTGCCAGTGATAGCAAGTATGTGGACTATTAGTAGAGTACGGAGTATTAGTAGTACAAAAATACAACTCCGGGGCATGGAAAAGCGGGATGATAAAAGAAGACGAATCAGAGTGTGTGTGATCGATTGTGGATGTGAGAGTGATAGTACTACTCGTAATTCCTGCAGCATCGTATTCAAGCAAAGATTGGACAGGCCAATCGTCCTCCTGGGCCAAAAGGAAAAGAGGGAGGGCAGAAAAATGTGAAACAAGGTAGAAGTCATCCGCCAGGCTGGCCAGCTTTTGGTGGTTAGGAGAGGAGGAGGAAAAAAGAAAAAGAAAAAAGAAAAAAAGAAAAGAAAAGAAAAAGAAAAAGAAAAAGGGGACTCCAGCCAGTGGAAAGGGGACGAAGGAGCGGTTAGTCCAGTGATCGTCCAATTGTGTTAATTTAATTATACGGAATAAAACTGGGAAGCAGAGTCTGAGTCCCTACTCCATAGTCCTTCGACTAGTCAGTGGACTAAGTAAAGGAGGTCCATTAGAAGTTGATTGCTGCTCAGGGGAGGTTCATGTCAACCATTTGATTTTCGGGCTAGTTTGAAGGGGATCCACAATTTGATGCTGTTATGGTTTTCGTTTTCTTTTTTGCTCTTCTCCCTTGTGGTTGCTGGTGAGTGAATTGAATGAGACCAGAAATCTTGTTGGTGATTCCAGTATTGGATCTTCCCAATGATATTTCTTATACTCAAGAATTGATTGTTGCAATTGCCTCGTAGCTCATGACCTATGGATGTATTGACTCATTCCATCAATCCAACTCCTCCAGTTACCGCTCATATCTCCGTTGGATTTTTGATTTGATATTTTTACTCCATCTTGTTTCTCTTTCTCCCGATCGAATCATACGATGTCTCCCGAGAAGGCAAACCGTTGAGTCTGCTGCCTCCCAAGCGATCGTCAATTGTAATTTCCCAAAGAGCCCGTGGTCCGTGTTTCAGTCTCTCCTAATTCAACCGTCACATCACATAAGGCGTTCTTTTTTATTTTTCAATACTAATAATTAGCTGTGACCAGATATCAATCCGTATACTTCAACGTACGTATAGAGCACATATCGTACGTGTAAGTATAGAGATAGCTGTGTAATGGAGAGGTTCAACTAATATTACCATCCGTCATTAGCGACTTTGCCCATGACTCCGCTGCCATTGGACATCATTCAGTTGTCGAGAGCAATTCCCCATCAGGAATCCCTTCTTAAATCTAGGATGCGGAAACCAGTCCGATGTTTTTATCCACCTCTTTTTGGAAATACAAGCGTACATGGAAAGGAAGCACCCGAACAGGATCCTTGGGTCCTCCAAGGTCAGCTCTCCACTTCTTCCACTCCTCGGCGCCGATTTTTTCTGGGTATTTCCCCATTTCGGAAATTAGATCGGAGCTGGCGACCCTTGCTGCCAAAGATTGACCACTGGTCATTCTATTGCTGATCCTTGGAATCAGATATATGATCCAAATAATAATGATAATAATAATAATTATTATTATTATTATTATCATTATTCTAGGTACTGCTGTAAATGCACTGTTACTGGAAGGGAAAAAGAGAAAGATAATCCTGACTCAGAAGAGGAGCTACCAAAGTGCATACTACAGAGTAGCTCCGAACTGTAACCTAAGTACGAGTACCAACTAGGTACCTACATACCAGCTTGTGACTGGCCTTGAGACTTAGCATGGTTTAATTTGAGGAGATAACCAACCCTAAACCTAAGTATAATCCGATAGCTATCCATCACAATTGGGTGGCTTCTCCCTTAGCTCTCCCACCGTTCGAACTTTACCCAGCCAACTTTCGCACTTCCATCTAGGTACCTAGCTAGTTGGAAATTGGAACGTGTGTTCTACCCGACTAAAAAAGGGAACGTGAGGAGAAAGCTATTTTAGGTCTTGCCTACTGAAGTAGCAGCACAACACTTTCCTGATTCGCAACTGGAACTCATCGAGCGACCCACACGGCAAGACATACTTCTCGCTTTAGTTCAGGGGCAAAAAGTTGACAGGTCATTGTACGATGGATTAAATTAATATTAATGTATTTAGTATAGCCCTTGATGGCCGAGGCTCGACAAGGCTGCTGGTGCCTTTGTTCTATTGATATATCAGACTACAGATATTACACGGGAAACGAAAAAGAAAAAGAAGAAAAAAAGTCCCGAGGAGAAAGAAAGTGGAAACCACTCCGTTGGAAATAGTCTTTTTATTTATTTTTTTTCTCTCTTTCTTTCTTTGTTTTGTTGTTGTTTCCCCTGAGGGGAATTCCCATTGCCGAAGTCTCCAGACCTTTTCCCGACGCCCTGCGTGTAACACGAATTATGGGTATCTTCATGCACATCCAAGTCTAAAATAATTCAAATATACCAGGATTGCGCCGTTGAGGATCACCCAGCTTGCAGCTGTCAACGCGGATGGGACCCAGTTACGTTGTCGTCACTCGTCAGCGAACAATAAAGACATGCATGGCCCTCCATTTGCCGGCATCGCATATTCCGTAGTCATATAATCAATCTGAAGCAGCGGACAAGTGATATGATGTGATAGATCTGCACAGGAATGATCATCTGTAGTTTTTCTGGAGTTGGCAATATAATTTTCTTTTTCCTTTTTCAGGTCGTGAACTGGTCTACGTCTGAATTACCACATCACACATAAACTCGTGAATATCTCGCTTCGCGATGAACAGAATTGTGGTGGAGTCGTAATTCGTCATTGCTTTCTCCTCTATTGATGATTAAGTCATGGTGTTCTCATGATCATGACTAATCAGGGACAGTCGTTGGAAGGATGATGACGTGAACATTGATACTCTGTTTTGTTGATGGAACATAGGTAATCACTGGTTTGCATTTCGTACTAGGCAGGTGAAACACCTTGGCGCCAATGCCCCAGAGTTAGTTAATCATATATACACTGTAAAAGGTCAAAACTCGCAGTATGCCAATCAATATACTTCCCAAAGTCCTGTTCTTCGACGTATTCGGAACCGTTGTGGAATGGTGCCCGTCCGTCACAAGAGAGTTGAAAGACGCCGCTGAGCGCGCCCTTCATGATCCCGGCAAGCCTATTCCTCCAGACGAACGCGCACGGGTCTCACAGATGACCTTCACAGACTGGCTCTCAGTTGCGGAAGATTGGCGACAGTCCTATGGACAGTTTACTGCCAAGTTTGACCCTTCCCAAGGCTTCGTTTCGGTCGATCAGCACCATTATACTGCTCTGTCCACGCTACTCAAGCAACGGAAGATCGAGAACCTCTTCACAGATAGCGAGAAGTGGGATCTGTCGCTCTGCTGGCACCGGCTTGTTCCGTGGCCTGACAGCGTGCGAGGCCTGGAACTGTTGAGCCGGAGGTTCCGCACGTGCACTCTGTCAAACGGCAACGTCTCTTTACTAGAGGATCTCCAGCGCTATGGCTCCTTGCCTTTCACGGATATAGCCAGCGCAGAGAATTTTGGGGCGTATAAACCCTCTCCTCAGGTATATCGTGGGGCAGCCGCCCGCTTCGATCTAGACCCCAGTCACTGCGCCCTGGTGGCAGCCCATCTCTCAGACCTGAAGGCCGCCAAAGCACAAGGTTTTCAGACAATATACGTTGCGCGTTCTAAAGAAGAGACAGAAGATTTATCTCAGGCAAAGCAAGAGGGATATGTGGATCTTTGGATCGAGCTGAACACAGGTGGTTTCGTTGAGGTTGCACGGCAACTTGGCATTCAAGTGGCAGTTAAGTGATGAATACATGCCATATATTAAAGTTAAGAAAAGAGCAGAGATTATCTGACTCTCACTCTATGATCCTGTGACAATGAAGCCACAGTACTGTACATGCCCAATTAGAGATGAGATATGGAATGACGCTATAAGTCTAACATAGATGATGATCAACTTGGTCATTTCAACTACTCTTGGGTATATTTTCTTTTATGTCTCTTAGGTTGATGGCACGATTCTAACCCAATCGTATGCATCACTAACCGTTTACCCCTCACGATGACGCAGCAGGTAAAGTCATTGATTGATTGCAACATAAGCTCTGAAATTTGTCAGCCCACCGATTACAAATTCAGATCATTGAAGTCAGATTCACCCAAGCCGACACATTTAAACCGCCTCCTTACCGTCTTTTTACGTGCTCGCCAAAGTTGACTTCGAAAAAAAAAGCGAGTGCCATGACAGAGCAGGTATGTAGGGTATCTCATGACACCGGCGCCTCCGTACTAAGAGAAGGCCTTCAGGAACACAAAGTCTACCGTCACGCCGACGCCGACGGACACTTTCGGCGTAAAGCTTCGGTCTTTCGCTCGTTCGTGTCCAGTGATCCTGCAGCTAAATTTCCTGCCGAAAAAGACCGCTATGTCTTATACTTGGGGCACGGCTGTCCATGGGCGCATCGGACCAACATTGTTCGATTACTCAAAGGCCTCGAGGAGATTATCCAGCTGGTGGTTTTGGATCCTGAGCTGGGGCCCGATGGGTGGTTCTTCTCAGGTCGCCGGGGTTCAGCAGAGAAAGATCCTCTCTACGGGTTCACGCAGCTAAGACAGCTATATTTCAAAGCAGATCCGGCGTACGAAGGGCGATACACCATCCCGGTACTGTGGGACAAGAAGGAAGGGACAATAGTAAATAATGAAAGCAGCGAGATTATCCGGATGTTCTATACCGAATTCGACCATCTACTTCCAGATGAGTTGCGTGAAATCAATAGGCCGGGTGGAGGGTTCTACCCTCCGCCTTTGAGAAAAGACATTGATGAGATGAATGAATGGGTGTACCATCAGATCAACAATGGGGTATACAAGACGGGGTTCGCAACCACACAACAAGCCTACGAGGAGAATATCTACCCCTTATTCGAGGCGCTAGATCGCGTCGAAAACCACCTAGCGCAGCCCGGACACCAGCCATATCTATTCGGCGAAAACATAACAGAGGCTGATATTCGCCTGTATACAACAATCGCCCGGTTTGATGTGGCCTACTATCTCATCTTTAGATGCAACCTCAAGATGATACGGCATGATTATCCACGAATCCATGATTGGTATCGTCGGTTATACTTCGACGAGTCCACCCGGACGCGGGGGGGTGCCTTTAAGAAGACAACATATTTTGACATTGTAAGTGGCGTTATTAAGATTTAGCTGATTTGGGCCAATCGCTAACTCTAGCCTGCAGTACAAATTTGGCTACCTCAAGGCAATTGGCAAACGGACGGGCAGCTCGCAGTTGATTATCCCAGCTGGTCCGTCACCAGATATCTTGCCACTGGAGGATCAGTAGTGCAGTTCTAGCACAAGGTAGCGTTTCAAGTCTCGTCTTGATAATGCGACAGGGCTAGAAATTATACGAGGGGGGAGTGACTGATATACGAAACATGGCCCACCCTGTACCAGTGTCCTGTTTATATACTGCCCCGCATATTAAACTTCCTCGACCGCTTAGAGCACCAAAATAATACGACATAACTTAGGTGATCTTCGCACTGATGGTAAACGTTAGGTGGTTCGTGCATGATACTGAATTAGAACTAGGGTGAAGTGACTGTGCTCCCAACGTCTCGGGTGTTGGGCATCAGAGGATTATCTCGTGGGTCTTAGCCCAAGCCTTGACATTAGGATCCTACTATCAATCCGTCAATTAGTGATTAGTGCGGAAAATAATCCCGAACAATTCAACTCAATGACTTATTGAGGCTCACTATAGTTATGTCGCGTACAGGACATGGGTAGCTCGATCCCAGATTAGTGGCAGAACCGCCATTAATGGTATCTGTTATATGCCGTAATTCAAAGCTAGTAGGGAGGCAGTGCTGCGTCATGAATTTAGGGGAACTTTCCTAATTGTCTCCCATGCAAGGCGAGAGACTTCAGAGCAACTAGATTCATGCAGACTGTCCACCCACCATGGTCCATTCGTGGTATGCAAAGAAGGTCAGCTGTCAGCCACGGATATTATGTGCTCACCGTTGTAGCCACCTACATCTCAAGTCCCTGTAGGCATATATCTTGTACGGTCTGGTAGCGCAAATCGTTTCAGCTATACAACCAAGCACAATGGTGGTAAACGTTCCACTAAGACTCGGTGACCTTGAACTAGTTGGTAGCAGGTCCCCGACGTGACAGAACGCCCTCAGCTAAGGGAACTGGAAAGTGCGTCCTCTCTTCATTATTGAATAATGTTGACGCTGGAGCATTCTGCGGATTTCAATGCATATGCAGGAGGTATTGGCACAAGTACGAGCTAATCAATACAAAAGTTATGCATAGAGATGTATAAATAGAAGTGTTCGGTCATTAGTGTGCATTCCCTCATCTATAAGCCATCACAGGTACCAAATCAAGAAATCGTTTCGAGCCAGTTTGATTAGGATAAGACGACTATTAAGAGCTAGTAGCCCAGACCGGTATCTACTTGCGCGTTTCCGGATCACTGTCGTCTTACTAGGTAGCTATCCACGTGGAAGATGGGGCGGGAGATTATTGTGGATGCCAGCGTATTTACCTAGGGAGTATGTTATAATTCTTAGGGAATAGAAAAGATAAAAAAGAAAGAAAGAAAGAAAGAAAGAAAAAAACACTGGAGCTCAGTGCACCCGGAATTGCCCAAATTTGGTTAGTCTTGCTGCTACTAGGTACTCCAGCTCCATGATATCCACAAATGGATAAGATGTACAAAATCGAAATCCTGAAGTCCTCACCAAGCTTGTTGTCCAGTTTCCTGGGTACATACCTTAATTTCGCTGGCGTTACCGCTTTAATCTGCTTGTCCGCTTAACCTTCTCGCCTCGCCTTTCCCCTTTCCCCTTTAAGCTAACAAATGTACGGAGCTCTACCGAGGTTCTTGTCTTCATGGATCCCCAGGCGGATCTCAGTTGCTCAGTCGTTCATCGGACCAGTCAGCCATCGTCTTATACATAGCTATCTTTGGCCTTCCGAAGTGGAAACATCACGAGTTAAAGGAATGTTGCGGCTTGGCTTGCTTCCTGAGCTACCAACGTCGCATAGCACAAGCACAAGTGCACAAAATCGAATACCTCCTCATGTGCCATATGTTTCTAGTTACCAGGAGTATGGACCACCGCATGCGAATGCTCAACCGCCCACCATAGACACCTAAGCCAAGCTCGGGGGCCGTTTGCATTGAGCTCCAAATAATATGCTCCCTTAGCTATTTACGTTCAGTATGGACAACTCTAGAGCACAGCATAAAAAACCGCTACGAGGTAAATATCAAGGCCATCGAGTTCGTATGCTCAATGATGTAGGTTGCGGTGTCAAGCTCTATGCCTTGTCTGTGTAGCTACCATTGCGTTGAAGAGGTAACTCTCTGCCGCTGGGCAAGGCTCCACTACGGCCAACTGAAAAATAAAATAGTATAAAGTAAAATATATCAATAAATAAAAGCAAACCAAGCTACGGAGTACAGAATAGGGTTTTCCATCCTATAACCTTTCCTCGCTGTTTTCTTACCTGGGCTCCCAGCATGGCTGTTTATCGATAAAGTGTTATCAGTGTGATGCAAGAATAGAAGCAAGGGGTAGCAACTGAGAAAGTCGACATTGGACAGAATAGAAGCTACATGTTCTGAAATATATACGTTCATACTGCCTACGGCTAAAGTATTCCCCTCCCTAAAGGGGAACGATGATATGATGACAAACTATACCTGTCTAACTACTGGCTGGCGAAAATAATCCAGTTATTGAAAGCGACCGGATGAGATGATTAATCCCTGTTAGCTCGTGGAACCTTATTTAACCAGCGATGGACCGGCCCGGCACTGGTTATCGGACGGATTCTTCGGAAGGGTGCGCATATATTGGGTTTAGCAAGGATCCAGGGAAAAAAAATAAAAAAGAAAGGAATGAGAAAGAAAAATTTGTCGTCGTCATTTCGCTTACCACTACTAGCACAATGTAGCATTCTAGCATTCCAATCTAATGGTACGGAGCACATACTGCATATAGAACCGCTAACTCCCTAGGAGAAACCCCCAATGATACAATAGGGGTAAGATGGACCCCACTATAGGTAATTATCATGGAACTTTCTTCGTCGAACGAATTTCTCGCTAAGCCCAGATGGGGTGAATTTTTTGTTTGAATTTCACATGCCGATGGCAATGTCAGCAAATGTCAATTGAAAAGCAAAAGAGGGGAAGAAATGAAGAGGAAAAAAAAAGAAAAAAAAAAAATCGGCGATTTGATGGGAAAAGATATTAACATGCAAGTGTGAACAATGCAGACGTTGTCGCAATGTCCTGCGGTCATTTTCATATTTGAATCACCATGAGATATAACAAGACTGCTTTAGGAGTCCAAGAATTATACGGCACTAAAATCCCAAAGCTTACGACCAACCACGTATTAGGTAGTCCCGGGAATTAGGAAGATTGGTTTTAGCCTGACCACCAGGGGCCACGGAATGTTCTGTATTCCTTCCCCGGGTGGACCTGCAAAGACTCGTGATGGTTGCTGCACCGGCGCAATCTACCATCTCCCTCTCGATTATTCTGCGTAGAAAAATAGGCACACCTGGGGCAAAGACCAATAAAATAAGAAAGAAGACAGGAAAGCCGTCCCCTGATCGGATTGGGTTTTTTTGATCATGACATCTGGTATACGTTAGTCGGAAAATATGATCGCTGGTACAGTATAAAGGACTTCCATGATTTAACGGCCTTACTGCCTGGTCTGGGTATGACTCTATCTGAAGAATGGATCAACTCCT